GGGTTGCGATCCGTTGCCGGTCACGAAAAAAGACAAAAAGGGAAAAAAAAAAAAAAAGAATTGATTTGATGGCTATTGCCAAACTTATCTGTGGACTTTCATCCCCTACTCAAGAACCTTTTGGCTCATTCATGCATAAACTTATCTGTGGACTTTCATCCCCTACTCAAGAACCTTTTGGCTCATTCATGCATTACCTAAAAATACTATTCTAAGATCAAAGGAGAATAAAGATTTCTAACCCACTACAGAAAAATCTGTCTATCCGTGTGTGTTGGGGCAAAATTAATCAATAATATTTGATGGGAAATACCTTCATTATTTTATGCTGCAGGCAATTCCATTCCTTGTGCTCAGATGACACACCAATGGTACGACGTGCTGCTGCTTCCAAATTAGGTGAATTTGCGAAAGTTTTGGAATTAGACAGTGTGAAAAGTGAAATTGTTCCATTGTTCGCTAACCTAGCTTCAGATGAACAGGTAAATTTACTGTTAGTATTCAACGGACAAAGATATGCTCCTCTCTAACATTTTAAAGAATTTCTTTGGGGAATTTTGGTTTTCATGTTAGGATCCTTTTTGCAAAATTAATACTTAATTCTGGCCTGGATAAAGTGTAGTATGACACAGCTCAGTGTCCTTATGTTTTTCCTTAAACAGATCATGATTTTCTCTCTTATATTAGCAGCTGTTAAAAGAAGGGGGAGTCAGAAAGGAGGTGGGAGCCATAATTAGAAAGGAAGACCAAAGCTGCATCAACGGATAACAAAACCTTTGGAGAGAATAATGGTTCCTGGACTTTTTGACTTTCAGATAAATAAGCATAAAATGTGTTAGGAAAGCTATCTGACCCTCTGCTTCCTCTGTACTAGTTTGTGGGATGACTTTGCATATTAGCGATTTTAAATCCAAGGATCTAGATCTCTTTGGTGTGGAAATAACAATAAAAATAGCAAACACCTAAATAAAGTACCCAATATTTCTCAGCCTCTGTTTTAAGTGATTTACCTGTATTAAGTAATTTAGTCCTTACAACAGCCCCATAAGGTAGATACCCCATTTTATATATTAGGAAACAGAGGCACAGAAAGTTTGAGTAACTTGCTCAAGGTTGCATAGTTAGCAGTGGTAGAACGTAGGCAGTTTGGCTCTAGAACCCATGCCCTTCACAGCTAGGCTGTATTTCCTATTTGTGATGTTGCTTAGAAGGATGAGCCCTTACAGTTCCTGGACTCTGGAAGAAGAGTCCTTTTGGATTTTTGATTTGTCTAGTGCCTTCCCAAGGATCAGTTCATGTGTACAGGACCAAGAACACCAGGACACATACTGATGAGTCTCATTTTCAGATTCTAAATCTAAAGATGGTAAATCTTACTTTCAAAATAATTTTTAAAATTTATTAAAATAAAAAATAGCACAAAATATATCAACAATTTAATAAGTTATTAAAAGGTAATATGATCTTATAACTGTCATCTATGAAAGGAGACAGTGTTTTGACAGCCACTACCCAAGAACCCACCCCCCATTGGCTCCCTTCCAAACACAGTCCCTCCCTCCTCCACTCCCCACTTCCTGCTCCTTTAAGAGTAACATTATCTTGACTTTTATGGTAATCACCTCCTTCCTTTTCTTTGCTCTGTTATCCAGATGTTATAGTTTAAAATAGCACTGTCCAACAGAAATATAACGTAAGCTACCTGTTAATTTAAAATTTTTTACTAGCCACATTTTTAAAAGTAAAAAGAAAAATTAGTAAAATTAATGTTAATAGTATATGTTATTTAACCCCAAAATATCCAAAATCTTATCATTTGAACATATGGTACTAGTCACATTTCCAGTACTCAGAAGCTACATGTCGATAGTAGCTTCTGTTACCACATTGAACAGCACAGGTTTAGAATCCTCATTTGGGATTTTGTTGATTACATTTCCCATGATATAATTTAATATTTTCTTTTGTTCCCTATATTTCCTGCAAAATGGAAGTTGAATCTAGAGCAGGAGTTTGCAGACTTTATTTGTGAAGTCCCAGATAGTAAATATTTTTGGCTTTGTGGGCCAGTCTCTGTTATAACTACTCAACTCTGCTGTTGTAGTACAAAGCATCCATAGATAATAAGTATACTAATGGGCATGGCAGGGGTTCAGTAAAAGCTTAATTTATAAAAACTAGCTGCATCTTAGATTTGGGCAGTATTTATCCCACCCCTGATCCAGAGGCTTAATGAGATTTAGGTTTGATGTTTTGGGGGTGATAAGACCACCTCATAGGTGGGGATGTGCTGTTAGCAGCAATTGATGCTTGAAAAAATATTAAGTGCTTTGTTATAAAATAAGCATATGTTCTTTTAGGCCATAGAAAAGTGCTTTTGGCTTATTCATTTATTGGTAAAATATTTGTCGAGCACCTACTGTAAGTCAGGCACTGTTCTAGTGTTGAACAAGTGTTAAACAATGCTAAACAATGTTAAACAAGGCGTGCAAGGACCCTGCTCTCAAGGAGTTTATATTTTAGTGGCGAAAACAAGTAGACAAATATCAGGGATAGATCTACTATGAAAATAAAGTAGCTTCTTCTCCGAGAGAACACTAAATGGCAGATGATACTTGTGTAGCAGGAGGGCCCAGAGGCCCCAAGGGCTCTGGAATGGGAGGCCTCAGCAACTTTCACAGAGGCTTTGGCAGTGACATCCGGGGTGGGGGTCGTGGAGTTTGTGGAGGCAAGGCCAAGGACAAGGAGTGGATCTTTGTCAGCAAGCTGGGCTGCTTGGTCAAGGACATGAAGATCAAGTGCCTGGAGGAGATCTGTCTCTTCTCCCTGCCCATCAAGGAGTCTGAGATCATTGACTTTTTCCTGGGGGCATCTCTCAAGGATGAGGTTTTGAAGATTATGCTGGTGCAAAAGCAGACCCATGCTGGCCAGTGGACCCGGTTCCATGGCATTTGTTGCCATTGGGGACTACAATGGCCATGTTGGTCTAGGTGTTAAGTGCTCCAAGGAGGCAGCCACCACCATCTGAGTGGCCATCATCCTGGCCTAGCTCTCCATTGTTGTGGCATGGAGAGGCTACTGGGGGAACAAGATTGACAAGCCCCACGCTGTCCCTTGCAATGTGACAGGCCACTGCGGCTCTATGCTGGTGCACCTCATCCCTGCCCCCAGAAGCACTGGCATCGTCTTGGCCTCTGTACCTAGGAAGCTACTGATGATGGCTGGTATTGACAACTGCTACACCTCAACCAGGGGCTGCATGGCCACCCTGGGCAATTTTGCCAAGGCCAGCTTTGGTGCCATCTCCAAGACTGGCAGCAATCTGACCCCCAACCTCTGGAAGGAGACTGTGTTCACCAAGTCTCACTATCAGGAATTCACTGACCGTCTTGTAAAGACCCACACTAGAGTCTCCCTGCAGACCCAGGCTCCGGCTGTGGCTACAACATAGGGTTTTTATACAGGAAAAATAATTAAGCCTGGAAAAAAAAGATAAATTAGGGTGACATAGAAAGTGATTATAGGGCATCCTTCTAGACTGGCTAGTTAAGAGAAGTACTCTGAACCCGATAAAATGGAACATGAAAGAGAAATGCCGGCCATGCCCTTTCCTAGAGTGTCAGAACTCCAGGAAAAGAGAATTCCAGGAAGAGAGGACACCTAGTGAAAAGGCCCTAAGGTTGGACTGTAGTGGTTGAAGGAAACTCTGGTGAGAGATAAGGATGGGGAAGATAGGCAGGGGCCAGATCACAGAGAGCCGTTAAACCAGAGTATAGGGTTTTCTTTTCTAAATTCAATGAAACTACACCTAGATTTTGAGCAGGGGTGTGACATAATGTAATTTACATTTTTAAAAGATCATTTTGACTTTTGGATAGAAGCTAAATCGTAAAGGGATTAAGAATAGAAAAAGGAAGACCAGTTAGGAGACTTATAATAATCAGGCAAGAGATAATGGTGGTGAAGCAGGATAGTAGTAGTGAAGACGGAGAGGATCTGGATATTAGGTTTGGAGGTAGTCAGTAGCACTCAGTACTATCGGACTGGATCAGGGGAAGAGGAATCAAGATCTGGATTTTTGGCCTGAGCACCTGGGTGGATGGTGGTGTCATTGCTAAGATGGAGAAGGTTCTGGGAGGAAGAATAGGTTTAGGAAAGAAAGTCAGGAGTTCTGGAAGAGAATTAATTGATTAACAAATATTTATTGGCATATATGAGGGTACTTCAAAAAGTTTGCAGAAAAATAGAATTAAAAGATAATGCAAATTCTTCCGTGAACTTTTTGAAGTACCCTTGTACCTGTATTTCAAAAATATTTATTGGCATATATGAGGGTACTTCAAAAAGTTTGCAGAAAAATAGAATTAAAAGAGAATGCAAATTCTTCCGTGAACTTTTTGAAGTACCCTTGTACCTGTATTTCAGCAGATGATAGTATCTCTTTATTTAGCATCATTTTTGAAATAAAAACAATCTGTATAGCCAGTACAGATATTTAGCCTGTTTATTTGGATACAGAGGAGTGAGTGTGTCTTAGGCACATAGTTGCTTATTGCTGATCTACAATTTCTTAAATTTGTAATATTTTGGAAAGTTGGAGTCACTGTTACTTCTCTTGATTATATGTGTGTGTATATATATTAAAATTTTTGTCCTGTTTCTTCTGAATGCTTTATGTTTACAGGTTTTCAGCTTCTTCTTGTATAAGTATGATTCCCAAATCTGCAAATCTCAATTCCTGATTTCCTGTTGATTTTTCTTAATTGTGTATTTCCACTTGCTCAAAGGACATACAGGTGTCACATTGATACTTGGCAGTTTACATTTTTCTAGACATGGCTACCTCAAAATTATTCTGTCTTTGATCTTCAACATTTAAATCCAACTCTTTTTTTTTTTTTGGTTACTAACTTTTAATTTGTTCTTCTGTGAGCCAGTTGATTAGCTAAGTTGGTTTAGAGCATGGTATTGATAACACCAAGGTCCAGGGTTCAATGCCTGTTACCAGCCAGCTACCAAAAAAACAATGTTTGTTTTTCTGTGTATGAGTGTACTTCAAGAAGTTTACAGAAAAATAGAATTAAAAGATAATGCAAATATTTCCATGAACTTTTTGAAGTACCCTCATTATTTCTTTCCAGGTCATCATCTCATGCCTAAATTCCTATTATTACGACCCCAAACTGAGTATTTTGAAAACTGAGAGCTTCCTAAGTGATTTCTCTTACCCTTATTCTTTTTCTCCTTTTTAATCGCTTATAAATAACTTATACAAGTGTAATTTTCATTTTTATCTCTCAGTTTCCTATTATAGTAAGACCATGAAGACATCATTAAAATGTTCTCTTTTTTTTCATTTAATCTTTACATTTTCATTTCATTTTCCTTAATAAAAACTCTGCATGGTAGTGAACATAATTTGCTGTTCATTTGTAGAACAAAGTCATTTCTATCTTTATGGCTTTCACATGCCATTCCAGGCAAAGGGAGCAGCTATTCAGCTATTTCAAGATATAAAGACATGAAATTGCATATGGTGTGGTTGGTTTTTTTTTCGTTTTTTAAACACCACCACAGTAGCACTGCACCACACCATAAACAGTGCCCTGTGGTTCTCAGTAAATAGTGATTAACAGAAATTTCGTTCCTTTAGGATTCAGTGCGCCTCCTAGCTGTGGAAGCTTGTGTCAGTATTGCCCAGTTATTGTCTCAGGATGACCTTGAGACCTTGGTGATGCCTACATTTCGACAAGCAGCAGAAGATAAATCTTGGCGAGTTCGCTATATGGTAGCTGATAAATTTTCAGAGGTAAAATTATTGCACTGGAATTTTTAAGCATTAAAGAAAAAAAAAAAAAAAAACCCCAAATCCACAGATCTGTTATTATATCAGAAGTTTCTGGATTAATTTATTTGAGTGGAAAGTGTCATAGCAAAAACACACACTTAGAGATTACATTATTTTCTTATTTGTTATTTTATTGGTATACATTAAACCCTGTACAAATTCTTTTATAGCTCCAGAAAGCTGTGGGTCCTAAAATCACCCTAAATGACCTCATCCCCGCCTTTCAGAATCTACTTAAAGACTGTGAAGCTGAAGTCCGAGCAGCTGCTGCCCACAAAGTGAAAGGTTAAAGAATTCAATTTATGTTATATCAGTGAATTTTGCTGTTTTTTTGTTCTGTTTTTCAAAAAAATAGAGATGATTTCAATGTGTAGAAATGTCACATTGTCATATAAAGCTGCTTCCTTTATTTTTAAAACCAAGCAACCATTTTCTCTTTTTTCTGTTTTAAAAAAAAAAGTGCCTTTCAGGTTGGATTAGTGTGATAGACAGTGTATAAAGATTGATGAAAAAGTCCATTTAGAATAAGAGTCATTTTTCCTCTTCAAGCTTATTTGCTTAAAAATATGATTTGATTTAACTTGGAACTGTTGATAAACCTGGTTAAATTTCCTCATTTGGCTCCTTGTAAACGGCTCTGTGAAAGCATTGTTTTTCTCTTTATTCTTTTAGAACTTTGTGAGAACTTGCCCATTGAAGGCAGAGAGACTGTAATTATGAATCAAATTCTGCCACATATAAAGGTAAACCTAACTTCAGTTTTGTTTCACTCCGCCCTATATAAAAGTAAACCTTACCTCAAATTTTTTTTCTTTGGTTTGTTTTACCTTAAAGCTCTGAGTTTAAACGTGGACAAGGAATGAAAGGGGCAGAAACGTTAATTTAGTGTGACATTGTTATTTATCACTTATTAGTGCCTATAATCATTGTAAAATGCTCTCTGGTGCATAGATTTATGTTACGTAACAGATGGTCTGAGGAAACATTATCAACTAATCAGTATTGAAATTGTGCTGTCTTTAAATTTTGGGGGAGATGTTATGGAAGTTTCTGTTGTCTTACAAAAAGGAAAGGCTTTTAATTTTGATTTTATTTTAGGAATTAGTATCTGATACCAATCAACATGTCAAATCGGCTCTAGCTTCTGTAATTATGGGATTGTCTACCATTTTGGGCAAAGAGAATACCATCGAACATCTCCTACCTCTTTTTTTAGCTCAGTTAAAGGATGAGGTGAGTCTGGCTATAAATCCTATTGCCTTTGATAGTCAGTGATTTGATTTGATTTTGGTTTGAGGTTTCACTAAAATAGGATCCAAAACATGGAAATAGGTAAAAGATCATAACTTATTTTAAACTAATGATAATCACTGTGTTTAGCATGGGGTTTTAGGTTCCCCAGAAAATCGGCACAAGGACCTATTAAAGCAAACCGAGAAACATCTATCCATCTTCTCTGCCTAATTTTTGCTTTATATTCACTGGTTCCTAATGTATCTTTGTTTTAAAAAGTTTCTTTTATTTTAGTTTAAATGAAATATCAAAAACCATGATGATAGCTAACATAATTATTATGTGCCAGGCATGATCCTCAGTGCTTTGCGTGCATTGTTACGTATAATCCTCACAACAATCTTATGAGGTTGGTCTTAATATTTTCCCCATTTTACAGGTGAGGAAGCAGAGTTCTAGAGAGAAAATAACTTGCCCAAGTTCTCTCAGCTATGACAGATCTGGGATTAGAGTGCATATAATTTCATTCCAGAGCCTTTACCATCTAAGAGACTTTTGATTGAAAGTTCTCGTTAAGGACCGGCCTGTGGCTCACTTGGGAAAATGTGGTGCTGATAACACCAAGGCCACGGGTTCAGATCCCTATATAGGGATGGCCGGTTAGCTCACTTGGGAGAGCGTGGTGCTGACAACAGCAAGTCAAGGTCATCTTAAAAAAAAAAAAAGAACCGAGTAAGATCAGTTACATTTATGTCCCTTGAATTATTTGTGTAGTCAGTATTAAGTATTTCCCTCAAGACTATGCATTTTTTTCACCTGAAAGTATTGAGTCAGTACTTTCTAATTTTAAAATTAGTAAGCAATTTTTACCTTATGAAAGGAGAATATTGGTCAGAGGACTTGATTTTTACATGTAGTCATTTGTGTACTTGCAGTGTCCTGAAGTTCGTTTGAATATCATCTCCAATTTGGATTGTGTAAATGAAGTGATTGGAATCCGTCAGCTCTCTCAGTCTCTCCTTCCTGCTGTAGTGGAGCTGGCTGAAGATGCCAAGTGGAGGGTCCGGCTGGCCATCATTGAGTATATGCCACTGCTGGCAGGCCAGCTGGTAAGTATGTGTGCTCCATGAACTGAAGGGTAGCGTCAGATAGTGCAGATTTACTATGGCAAGTAGGAGGCCCGAATAACCTATATGATTGTGTTCATTTAGATGCATGAAAGTATGGTCTTGTCCTTATTGACTGTAGGATGGTTTTGGTTTTCGTTACTGCATTAATTTCTGACAAAAAGGTATTATAGAGACACATTTTTACCTTACCACTACCTGAAAACGAAGCCGTAGAAGAATATAATCAGTTTTTTGGTACTGTATATGTAGCATAGATTTTGTGATATTCAAAGCCTCTTTGACATAAGGAATACTTAACTGAGAAGAAAAAATGAGTATGGTTTCAGGATAAGTCAGCTTTGATTTTTGCTCAAGGCAGCTTCCCTGTTTGCCTATATTCTGAGTAAAATGTCTCTGGATATCACTTTTTCTACATTCTGATTAAAGGGAGTTGAGGAATCACCATATAGGAAAGGACAATTGAAGCTTGTAATGCTAGTATTTTAGCCAAAGTGCACATTATCACATTATCTGTTACAGTCTGAGTTTCATGATTAGTTTTACTCTGATATCACATTAGTTAAAATTTTAAGCTGGGTTTTATAGCCACATGCTTTCCTTCCTTTTTCAGTAGGTGCCCAAGACAGTTCTAAGTTTGATATACCCTTACCCCTGTTGGTAGCACTTACTACAGTGTACTGTAACTATTTATTATTTGGGGAGATAGACAAGTGATCTCTTTTGGGGCAGGAAATGTTCAGTGTTTTATTTCAAGTATCTGCCATAGTGCCTGTCATTAATTGGGCACCTTATGATATTCAATGTTGTACCCCACAGATACATACAATCAATTATGTTTCTAAAAAAAAAAATTGGACACAACATTTGTTGATTGATGAATAAATGAATATTTTTTTGAGAAAGCTCATAATATGTCAGCTTACTTGCTAACATTACTGCAGTTTGTTTCCTTCGCCTCACCTGCACTTCCATTCCTTTCAGATTACAACGTGTGGGATTGATTTTGTTCTTTTCTTGACCACTGAATTTGTATTGCTAATTTTGGTAAATTTAGTTTATATGCATCTAATGAATGTGCATGTGGAATTAAGTGTTTTATAAAATTTGAAGGGTTCCATTCTTCAAAATGGATGCCAAAGATATCAGTAATTAGCTAACAGGGTCAGGCAAAGTCATCTTGTCACCCTCTGTCACTCCCAAGTGCTGAAGGTCATCTTTTGTTCTTTGCTGGTGACTGTCATGGATCAACTCTCCAGAGCGGAAAGCATCAGTGGCTAACTGGT